GGATTCGAGTTGGGATTCGAGTTGGGATTCGAGTTAGGATTCGAGTTAGGATTCGAGTTAGGATTCGAGTTGGGATTCGAGTTGGGATTTGAGTTAGGATTCGATATTGGAACAAATATTATTGATAATTTCTGGGTTATTGCCATTCATTTGTTTAGAATCACCAAGCAGTTCTTTTGACTAAAACATTCGCAGCATACAGTTTGTTTTTAATACTCTGTTGTTAGTTTGTCTCGTCCCGGACACAGGGCCGAAGTCAGAGTTAAATCGGGACGAACCTGGCCGGGGGCCGAAGCCGTGCCGAGGTCGGGCCGAAACATGCTGGAGCTCGGGTCGCGGGGCTGATGGGTATACGACTCGAGCTCCAGGAAAGCAAGATGGCCGCCATGGCGTAAAAACCGAAAGTGGGGCAGCGCTGAGACCGCAACTCGCCCATAATTCCACAACCAAATGTTCTACAGTCTTAAAATTTGACCAATTTATATTTAGTTTTGACTAATTCAAGATTTCGAAACTTTAATTTGACTGTATAATGGCGAAATTACTCTTTTGAAATACGGGATGATGTCGTTGAAGAAATTTCGCCATTTTGTAATCAGTTGTGCCGTCCGTTAGACGTAATACTACAAGTATTACTACTGATTGGAATAAAGAATTAAAAATGCTTTTAACCTTGATTTCCTCCCTTGACTTATTGCCACGGAAATCAGTACACATGCTCGTGAAGTTTCAGCGACTGAGTGAACGTTAACCGAATTTTCGTCGTCCAAGGACCGCTTGGAAACATTAGGGTACGTGTGTGGCATACAAGGATATATAATTAAAGAATATAGACCAAATGATTAATAAGTACTTGAAATATACTTACATTTACTGATAATGCATGCGCTGAGGAAGATCTTCAGAAAAACCATTGTTTGCTCCATCCGCATCTTGAGGCTTGGTCTCAGGAACGAATGAAGTGTTTTTATAATATGCGTATGGGAATACATCAGCAAATGAAATGCCGTCTTGAGCAGTCATGGCAATACAACTTTGAATAATTTTACGAAATTTGACATACTCATGTCGCTCACATCACTAACAAAAAAATTTCAAGTAATACTCTTAAGTTAGTCTATTTTTATATTCTATAATGTGGTATTTGGCATACTTCACAGGTTGCGTATTTTAACGTATTTTTAACAAGGGATATCACTATAGTAGTTAGAAGGACCAAATTTGTAGTTAGCTCGTTGTTTTACGATAGTAATTAACTTGTTTCTTCAGTTGACTCATGTGTAGGTGATGCAAAGAACCGTACAAGTAAGGAACCGGTCATTACTTTATAGAGGTGTGAGATATGGTTCAAATGGGGAAGAAATTTTATTAGTTTTTCTGCATGCAAACTCAAAGGGAGAGTCACAAAAATCAGTGTGTACAAGCTTCTGACGGGGTTACTATTTTTCGTGCAATGTCTGGATATTTAATATCGAAACAGAAAAGGCATTGAAAAATCAGTATCAGTATAGGGCCACACCATACTTCTACTGGCATAATCGATTATTGGTGATCGTGATTTTCTTATTAATTTTCTCTCTTTTGAAACAGCATCAGTGTATGACATAGTTAACTATGTACTGGCTCCTTCGCTTCCATTATCACTGCTTGTAGCATTTTTTCCACTGTGGAGTTCATCCTTGAACTATTTCTTCATTAATATGGCCTGCAACAGCTTCCAAAATTATAGGAATTCATTCCCTTCATGGCAGAATGTGCTACCTTAGTTTGTTTGACACTTAAAATACAGTGGCATGCCGACATGTTAGACCTATGAAGTTTTGTCTTCAAGTTTTTTCTACAAATCGTTATTTATTGGTACTTAACTTTCTATAATTTTGCTGCGTGTTTAGAACATTGCTATAGTGTTTTTTGTTATTGGCCTTGAAAGGTAGCGATTTTGTAGTCAGAAAAGTTTGTTATAGTTCTTTAGGATAGGTACTAGCCCTTCAGTCAGATAAATGATGGCTGTTATCCAGTTCTGTCGACCAGAACTGTGCTTACTGTAAGACCTCAGCTCGCCCTAAATATGGTTAGTCTTTTTTAAAATGTTATTACTGTCTATCTTAAGACTCYTTTAATGCTTYMAYACTKTYCTATKAAAGTAAAATCTCTAAGKTTTTCGGTGTTTTTATTAAGATACATATTTATCCAATAAGAAAATTCTAAAGTTTTTAAAGAAAGAACAAAAGTTATCCCCTCGCCTCCCTAGTGAGTAGTGAGCACGCAAAGGCTCAAGGGATATCCCGCCATAGTTCAGTCTGAGCAATGCATTCAGGATTTCAAAACACTGAGGTCCATAAAAACCTTCATCTTTCATCCAAATATATCCACTAAAAGCCCTCAATTCACTCCAAGATAGGTCAATAAGATATATATATTAACCTCTGGCAGCTTGAAATGGGGTTTAATTCCGAAAAGTTTGTGAATTCATGTGATGAAAATATATAATATGGTGAGCAAAACAAGAATAGAGTTGAATACCTCGTCTCAAGAATCACTAAATGCACTCTATTTTTACATTATTTCTAGCCATGGAGCATTGCAAGACCCTGTGAGTTGCAAAGATGGGCATACTGCAATCTGCAGTGAGTGTATTGAACTGTGGCTGAAGAGGTGCAAGAATTGTCCATTGGATAACACTCTGATTACTGACAGCTTGGTTCGTAACTTGACTGTTTATAACATCGTGAATAATCTTTACGTTTACTGTTTTGCTCAAGATGAGGAGGATAAGGAGAATGGTGAATCAAAAGCAATGAAAAAAACTTGTAAGTAAGACTTTCTTTTTCAGTTTGTTATCAGAGGATTCATTTTAGAGGAGTTGCGATATCGAGCATCAATCTATTTTTTATCTGCTAGGTTTGGGGGGAGGGGGGGGGGGCATTTGTGTTGTCATTCAATCTTAAAGTGCAGATAACCCCTGATTTGATATTCCCAGTATCAAGTCTACATGAAGTGAATAGTTCAATCATAAAACATTTCTTGAGTTAACTGCTTGAGCTAGTGTATTTGTAGTAACTAATAATACTAAATGCTGGACATTAGTAGAAATAAAATTGCAACAACCTTCATGTAAACCATGATTACCCGGGGGGGTACTCCACCAGAATTTGGGTAGGGGTGTTCCGCTGGGATTCTGAAAGGGGTACCCTGTTTATGACAAAACAAAAATCGTATTTGTAGACCCTGTTTATGGCAAGAGATATAATTAATTGCACTGAGCTCCTGTTTCAATTATCATGTCATCTCACGTATCATTTTTTTACGACCATGGTAACCAGTTTCAGTCAATACGAAAGTAGAAATCCTGAATATGACAAGAAACTCAGGACGAATTTGGACCTTGAGTGAAATCGCATACCCTGTTTATGACAAGAAGCTCAAAAAACCATACCCTGTTCAGCGGATCATCCCCGTATAGTTCATATATGGGAGTACCCCCCCCCCCCTGGGATTGATTACGATATTCTTGTGCTTCAAATGCGGTTTGTGTTAACCAGCTAAGTCTTTGTATGTTTTAATAAGTCTCAAATGAGGTCACCTACAGGTTTTAGGAGTTCAGTATTTACACTTTTGACTTTGATAGAATTTGAATTTGAATTTTGCAAGTTGAATATATTTAGGTAAGTAACMATAGAACCTTGAGAAAACCCTCCAAGCACAGGAGAGAACCTCTCATACGATGGACAGTCTAGGAATCAAACCCACAACTAAACTGATGAGAAAATGTTCAGCAGAAGAACATGTACTCCTCATATATGCTTCATAATATTTTATACCTTGATTCCCCTACTTGGCCTCACATTTATTTACATTTACAAATTACAAGCATGCCCTCTCTTCAAGGCTTAAGTGCTCGGGTACGCCAGGATCAAAGTTAGTGTTCTAATTTACAGACCCCACTTTTAAATGCATTAACATTTGGGGCTGTGACTAATTCAGATCGTTCCATTGTTTTATTGTCCATGGTACAAAGCTGTATTGTATATATGTTTTTTTTTCTTGAGAGGAATTTTAAAGGATCTGTTGTGATTATTTCTTGAGTTTCTTGTCAAAGGTAACAGTTCATTACAGAGATCTAAGTATATATTTTAAGTATAAATTATAGTACAAGGTGAAATAGCCCTTGCCTTCTAGGTGAGGTGTAGCTTATTGGTATCTTAAGACAGTACCGATGGAGAGAACTACAGTACTGTTACCATGGCTACTATTCTTGTAACTGACAGGAAACTAAGTGTCTCAGTTTTGATTCCTGGTCTCGGCATCACATGTAGGTAGAGATTGTTACGTATAGTATGTCCCTTTACTCAAGGATTTTTCTGCATGTTCTTCTGACCTGAGGTTTCAGGGTTCCATCTGTAAGTGGTAGCATATGCATGCCCTGACTTTGATCAGCCCAGAAGTTGTTTCAGTGCTCAACACTAATGCTGGTCCACTATAGTCTGGGACTATAGCAAATCTTTCCTCTGGGCTAGTGAAAAATGTTCCTAGGGTTTTTGGATTACTAATTATCTGAACTAATCAGATTATTCTGCTGGACTCCTGGATTCATAGGCTTATTAGCCCATTGCCTAGCAAAACAGGTCGCAGGATTCCTTATGCTGACCCCCAGTGTGGTTGTATGGTTATATATATAATAGACTATGATTGGCTATCATGCTAATTCATCCAGTATCCAATCGTTTTGCCCACGCATTGGTTTGCCTACTAAAGTTTGCCTATGCATAAATTTTGCCTACTGAAGTTCCCTTCAATGAAGCCAGTAAACTATATAAAGCACAGATTTGGGTAAGAAATATTTGCTTGCTTGCCAAATTGTTGAGTAAAAAACACAACTCTTATCTCTAGAAATTGTTATTTTTATCTCTATATGTAAAATTCAAGGCGAATAAAGTAAGAAAAACAATGTAAATGAGTTAGAAACTTTAGATGCGAATGAATGACTATATTGGGTGACAAGTACTAGAGTATTAGGACTCGTCAATGAAACTGGCAAACTATAAAGCACAGATTTGTAAGAAATATAAAGAACAAAAATGCCTCCTTTTTTATTGATAATAGGTTTCCAAGCTGACATCTTTAATCAACTTTTATTCCTTACACAAGAACTATTTTTTCCTTTTTTACAGTATATTTATTGTCTCACCCTTCATAGTCTTTACAATGCATATATTCACTCTGTCAGTTGTAAAGAAATAAACAACAACATTTTAACTCAAATTTCATGCTAAACTTGGACTTTCCTTCTACAAGATACTTATCATGATGCTTTGATATATCAAAGCACATAAAATACTTAATTATTATCATGATTATAGTAGTAATAGGTCAAGAAATAAAGTAAAGAAATAAACCTGAGTACCTGACTTAGATCAGCTCAGATATTGTTTCAGGGTTCTATTTGTGGGTTAGCGGTGCCCTGACTTAGATCAGCCCAGAGGTTGTTTTAGGGTTCGATCTGTGAGTTAGCTGTGCCCTGACTTTAGATCAGCTCAGATATTGTTTCAGGGTTCCATCTTTGGGTTAGCCGTGCCCAGACTTAGATCAGCCCTGTGAGGTTGTTTCAGGTTTCAATCTATGGGCTAGCCGTGCCCAGACTTAGATCAGCCCTGAGATTGTTTCAGGGTTCCATCTGTGGGTTAGCGGTGCCCTGACTTAGATCAGCCCAGAGGTTGTTTCAGGGTTCCATCTGTGGGTTAGCGTGCCCTGACTTAGATCAGCCCAGAGGTTATTTGAGGGTTCCATCTGTGGGTTAGCGGTGCCCTGACTTAGATCAGCCCAGAGGTTGTTTGAAGGTTCAATCTGTGAGTTAGCTGTGCCCTAACTTAGATCAGCCCAGAGGTTGTTTCAGGGTTCTATCTGTGAGTTAGCCGTGCCCTGACTTAGATCAGCCCAGATTTTGTTTCAGGGTTCAATCTGTGAGTTAGCTGTGCCCTGACTTAGATCAGCCCAGAGGTTGTTTTAGAGATTGAACACTGGTTTGGTTTACATGTAGTTAAACAGAATAATAATATATTTCTGTTTACAGCTATAGTTATATTTATTTTATTCACATTATTTATTTATTTATGTTTTGTGTAGGTGAGGGAATCACAAAAGATGTAAGTGACTTGAACCACAAGCTTGAAGAGCTTAAAAAACACTAAGGGGTTTGTGCTTTCTACCAAGTACCATGTCCTCATGCAAACTGTATAGACATGGTGCAGAGAAGACATATTAATGACCATACCCAAGCATGTATACATAGAATAGTGGCGTGCAAGGATTGCCAAGCACAAGTAATTCAACATGATCTTCAACACCACCAGGATAGTGACTGTCCTGATGCAATGATCCCATGCCCCAATAACTGTTATACAAATCATGAAACAAGCAAGATACAAAGGTACAGTATTATGAGAAATTTGTTCAATTTCATTTTTTTTTGTACAATTATTACAATTAATTATATTATAAAAAATGAACTATTATTACATAAATAACATATTTCAAGGTAATTATTATTATTTTACGATGCATGCACAGGTAGCCCAAGCTTGGTTTCTGTGGTGTCCTGTTATAAGGAAATGTATGGGAATTCATCAAAGATTTCAATAAAATCATCTAAATGTGAAATAAAGCCTCGAAATTTTACCCGATCATTGAGAAATAGCACTTCTTTCGCTCTGCATGGTTATTTTTTCAGTGTATCTAGTGAGCTGGCAATCCCACGACTGTGCTGACGAGGCCCAATACAGGCCGAAACAGCTGTCCACAGTTTCTAGTTGAGCTGGCTCATTTTTTACGCGACTTGAAGTTGTGAAAGGCTTGTATGGCACTCTTCTTCAGTCGTTTCATCTAAGGCTCGTAATTTACTTATTACGCATGTTCTTATTTGATATCYGAGCCCATCCCACACAGCGCACTGCCACATCTATCTGATAATTCCATGATAAGGTGTCGTCAATCATGACACCCAAGTACTTAATATGGTCAGTTTTTGTAATAGATTGATTTGATATTTTCATGTTCAACATTCCCATATTTCTTTCTTGATGATTTTATTATCATAAAGTTAGTCTTTTTAAAATTGATGGATAATTTGTTTGTATCACACCATTTTTTTACTTTAATTAATTCTGTATTAACTAGGATTTCTAGTTCAGAGATATTTTTTGGGGAGGAAAAAATGTTTGTGTCATCTGAAAATATTTTGAATGATAGCAGACTAGAACAATTTGGTAGGTCATTTATATAGAGGAGGAATAGTAATGGTCCTAGTGCAGATCCATGGGGGATTCCACATTTCATTTCTTGTTTGGAAGATTCAATATCTTCTGTTGTTACATATTGCATCCTGTTAGATAAATAATTTCTAAACCAATCAAAAGCAATACCTTCTATGCCATATCTTTCAAGTTTTTGCAATAGTATCTGATGTCTTACTGTTTCGATTGAAGGCTTTTGAAAAGTCGAGAAAAATACCACAAGTACAATGTAGATAAATTGTTATCAATTGCTTTTGCAGGATAAGATGTCTTCACTTACAGTACACATTACAAATTAAATTGAGTCTTGCCCAACTTGGGTAGGGGTGTGCCGCCAGGATCTCAAAACCCTGACCCTAAAATTTTGATTTTACATACCCTACCCCAGACTAAAACTAAAAAATATACACCCTATCCCAGACTAAAAGATGGAAAATACGGTTTTACAATCGATTGCAATCAATATTTACTAACATTTTTATTGTTTTTGGTCGGCAGAAAGCGTAGCCTATTCACCAGACAAAAACGACCAAATCGTTAACCCTATCCCAGACTAAAATGATACCCTATCCCAGACTAAAATGATACCCTATCCCAGACAAAATGTCAAAAAATGATACCCTACCCCAGACCCAAAAGCCGAAAAACCATACCCTATAGGGCGGCACATACCCGCATAGCAAATATAGGGGAGTACCCCCCCGGGCAGTGTAGACACTCTAACTAGGACCACTTTTACAAATTTAACCAATCACTACATAGCATGAAAACTATAGCCAATCAGGCAGGAGATCCTAAGTTGACCTTAGCCAATCACAATCTTTCATTCCCCAATTTTTTTCATTGACATCTAAGTATTTTCTAAGATATAGAATTCAGATCTAGGTATTTTTGCTTGTTCATATTTTGTAAAATGAATCCCAGTTAGTCTGTCCTTAAATAAAATCAATTTCTAAATTGGTATGATAAATATAGAAATATAGAAATATAGAAATAAATCCCTCTTTCCTTTTTTTAATTTCTTTTTAAAATATACATTGTACTCGCTAGGTTGCCTCTGATTGGCTGAGATCAATTAGCCAATCAATAATAGCGTGTGAACTTGACATAATTGATGTATTATCTGCAGATTATTATCAATCTGAATTAATAATAATATTTAACTTATTTTATTCATTTTTGATGATTATTGTTCATCGTTATTTCTCAGAAACGTTTTAAAGATCAACTTAGCAGTGCCAATAGTTACACATGGATAATACCTGACTACCCCACTTTATGCAAGAAGTATACCTATGCCTCAAGCTTCCAAAGTGTTTTTTTCTGGTTATGTGGTTACAGACTTAGATTATCAGTATCCCCTAATGRAGATAGAGAAACAAGTCATTCATTCCTCTCTTTATCCCTAAGATTATATGAAGACCATTTGCTGACATCTAGTGATGTTCATGTGGTACCCAGCAGTGAAGCCACTATAGGTTTCAGGTAGTGCCACACACCCACCAGTATCCAAACCTGCCTTTTAACGTGGGGCATGGGTTATATTGTTGATAAATATCAAAAGCTAAAAAATAAACACCAGCTTCTCAGCAGACAATGTCTGTCCAACATTGGTCAAATGCC